AATATATTAGTTTTTGTATTTTAAATAAAAACTGTGATTGGAGCTATATTTATTTTTGATATGGTTATACAGTATATTGATATGTATATATTGATATTTGTCAATTTATTGTAAGAATGCAAAGAAATTCTGAAGATTTATGAATTTTAACGTGGTAAAAATAGTCACTACAGCATATGAGGGGGTCAGCACTAAGGGGTGAGGATTTTTTCAAAAATGTTCTAAGGTCCTATAATATGTTTATAATACATGTTACTGCTAAAATACATACACTTACTCCTGTCAAAATTGTGCCATTGAAACCCAACTCATTTTTTTATCCCACGGCCATTATAGCATATAATTATGTTTTGTATCAGGCTTTACATTTAGGGTCCTGGAACCAAAATTATACTTTTGACTTCTTTATTTTTTTATATTTTACGATTATTGAATTATTTGCCTTATTAGGCAAATATATTTTTTCTTGTTTTGTTTACAATTTTTTTTGTGTATTTTATTTAGTCTTATCGAATAAAAACAACAGTGGCATTTTACAAAACAAACTGCATTTTTTTAGAGATTGAAATTCTGAAAACGAGTTTGGTACTAATAACCAGGACTGTATGTTTAAAAAGAGTAAAAAGGTGGTAAAATAATATTTATTAAACATTTTATTTAAGTCTTTGGATGTGGCATATATATTTGTGTATTGAGCATTAAAGTTCATTCTTGAAGAATTTTTGAAGAATAAGGTTCATTGGTTCCTAAATAACTAAGGTTGTTAACACTAGTTCTCATGTACACTATACTTCTCTCTCAAACCAAAAGCTAAGGTAGACCCAGCCACCAGCAGCTCCTTTAAGTCTACATGAAGTGTTACTTAAACTTAGTGTGAATTGTGCGAATGTGCTCTTACCAATCTGCAGAGTCAGCAGCAGAACGAGGGCTGAGCTCCTCCAGAGGAACATCTTCTTTTCCCTTCTCTTCACCGGACCAGTCTGTAGGTCTGAACGCAGCCAGGAGTCTTTGGGAGTTCACTCTGACCTCTTCTCGCATTCCAAGAGATAACACCTGAACTTTACATTCTCCCAGCATGCAACTGCAACCAAGCATTATAAAACAGTTTCCTCCAACCAGCAGAGTTCCACAGTATACACATCCGTATATTGCACAATAACTGAAGTAGACGCAGTTGTATTCTATATAAACACATTTACAGCTATATTATCCTTCTGTTCACCTTGATTACCTCCATTAAGAGATCACTGAGTTTGTCTCACAAGTGCGTTGCCTAATGGAACTTTTATAGGAGCCATTGTTTTCTTGCTATATCTAATTTTGTATAGGTTTTACCAGGAAAGTCATTGAAGTTCCTTTTTTTTTTAATTAACTATGTTATACAGGTGGATACAGTCGCATAAATTACCCACCTGCCATAAATTCACAGAAAAATAACTTGGAAAAATTATCCGTAAGTAGTTATATTCATCCCGCTTTCGTCTCATTAGTATGCATAAAAGGTGACAGGTCACACCTCCTCCCATTATGCAAATGAGCTAAGTCCCGCCTCCCCTTTGATCGAGGTGTGAGATCTCAAGTAGGTGTGATATCCCAAGTAGGTGTGAGATCCGTCGATAGGAGGGGGGTGATGTGTATTCACAAGTGTGAAAAGCCCCCACTGTTGCGCCTTATGGTGTATAATAAAAACATTAAAAAAATAAAAAATAAAAATTAAATAAATAAAAATGCTGTTTCAATCACATTAGTATGCATACAAACTGACAGGTGGGCCCACCCCCAAGTGTGTGTGTGTGTGTGTGTGAGCCTGGCCCTGCCCCCTCCTCCCCCCTTCCTGCCATCTTATCACTAGACAGAGGGGGGAGGGATTTTAAAAACACTTACCTTACACTTGTATTTGTTCTCTCTAAAACACAGTGTCTGTAAAGGTGGGGGAGACTGTCTCCCCCTCTTCCTGCCATCTCTCTCTTTCTGCTGATGTGTAATATATACAAAATAACATTTTATATACTTTCTCTCTTGTTAAAAGGTGATGAAGTTTGCAGCGTAAGCCAGCCATCAGTGTTCTAGTTTTAAGGTTTTTTATACCTCAAAGTGTGTCGAAAAGTATCTTGGCAAGAGAAAAAAGCCAAAATCCGCCAAGGCCAGGGGTCGGCAACCCGCGGCCCGCATGCGGCCCTTTAAGCCCTCTGCTCTGGCTCCCTTGAGTTTAGACAAAAATAAGAAGGAAATAAAATAAAAGTATTTGTAGGACTATTTATATTTTGTTGCATGGTTGAAAATGTTTCGTATNAGCTCCTGTTATGTACTGTGTGGCAATACTCAATTTGAAAAATACTTTGTTACAAGTTGAAGTCCTGCATTCAAAATATAAAACGTATAAAAGTATCGGCATCAAAATATACTTTAAAGTACCAAAAGTAAAAGTACTCCTTATCAGAAATCAGAAATCCTGTATTAGTCCCACGGCAGGGACATTTACATTGTTATAGTAAACTTATACTGTCTCCTGCTGGATATTATGACCAAATATATACAGTATGTCAGCATGTATTTAATCATTGTTTCATATTGTGTAGAAGCTAATTATCTAAACCCAAACTTAGTATCTAAAAGCTGTCAAATAAATGTAGTGGAGTAAAACTTATTATATTGGTTTCTAAAATGTAGTGAAGTACAAGTGTAAAGTGGCATAAACTGAGAATACTCAGCTAAAGTACAAGTATCTCAAAATTGTTCTTAAGTACAGTACTTGAGTAAATGTACTTTCTTACGATTCAGCTCTGGAACTACAGTACATTTTATGTCCTTGCCTATCTTTTCAAATGATTGTTTAAATAAAATCAAATTAAAACAAGATGGAATAAATCTTTATTAAGAAGAGCCAGGATTCTGTTTTTTTATGCTTTCAAAATTCCTACCAATTGACACCCAGTTCAATCTAAACAAAGGTCTTATTTCATGTATAAAGATTTTTAACAGCAGACAACAGAGTCTTAGGAAATAGCAGTTTATTAGAAACATTTTACACACACATGCTCACCACAGGGGGTCATCCTTCCCCTCTGCCTGTTCATTCAGATGACTGCATCTATACCAAAGGTTTGAGAAGGGACACGGCCCTGCCCTCGATGTTTCGAGCGCTCTGGCAATGCGCTGCTGGAGTTTAGCACTCAGAATTAGCATTGTAAATTAATTTGGGTGAACTGAAAAAAAATCCAAGCTTTTGTAATAAATCCCGGTTGTTTTCCACTTGTCACCTCATTGATTTGGTTTGGCCCTTAATCAAATTCCAGGTAGCGTTTATAGACCAAACCCTAGATGATGTTGTGTAGGCCTATAGCCTATATAAAAATGGTTTCTTAAATTAGAACCTCTTTTATTTTGTTATAGAGTTTGAACTTGCACGTGGACATGTTCCTAGACTAGCTCCTTCAAGCAGAGGATGTGTGACATCATTCTTCCTCGGCTTCACGTTTCCAGCTTTCATTTTTTTTTAAACAGGGAGAGAATCTGTATTGTGTTTGTTTATGGTTCTGTCCAAGTGAAACATTCCTCTTGGATGCATTAGTAAGGTCAATTTAAAAAAAAAATAAAGTTCCTGAGAACTGAAAGTGAAATTGTTCAAATATGTTTGAATGCATTCGCTGTTTCCTAATCCTACAGTGGTGTATGATTGACAGTCAGCTTAACTATTTTCCGTGAATGATCCATCTATGGAAAACCAAAATGTTTCCTTACGTCGATGGTGATTACTCAGATTTAATATCATGTTTATCAGTTCCTCTGTTATGCATGAACTAAGATTATTTTAATGATCTAGATTACTCATGTGCCAACAGGACAGGCAGCGTGTCATATGGAGTACAAGGGTACATCCTGTAGCACTTTGGCATTTTACAGTTTTTCTCGATTGCTAACACACTAAAATTATACATAAAGCACAATTATTTGAACTGACACTCAAAGAGCAAAACATTGGCTCAAATCTCCAAAAACGTTTTCAGCTTTTCACACAATTTGCAAATCAACATGGCACTTTCTGCAAACCACTGCACACGTTTCTCCACGTAAGACACAGGAATCTGACATAAAGTCACATGTTAGCAGGTTTAAAACACTGATATTCAAAAGGCCTCACACATGGACCAATGATCAAGAAACACGTTCCACCTAACCAAACACCTGATAGCATAATTGTTTGCTCATCAATCAAGATGTTAGCACTATAAAAACACCACAGGTGAGTACTTTCTTACAGCAACAATGGAAGCCAACATGGAAGCAAGAGCAAGAGGAAGAGGAAGAGCTGGGGTGAGAGTGAGAGGAGGAGGAAGAGCTGGGCTGAGAGTGAGAGGAAGAGGAAGAGGTGGGTGAGAGTGAGAGGAGGAGGAATGAGAGGTAGAGGTAGAGCTGGAGGGAGAGGACGTGGACAAAGAAGAATACTCTCTAATGAAATCCGGGCCACTTTGATTGACCATGTTATCAACCATGATTTGACGATGAGAGAGGTTGGACAGAGGGTTCAGCCTAATATTTCTTTACTCTAAGTTTTTATTTCTATCTACTGTATTTGACAGAAGCATAATTTTTGTTTTCCGATACAGAAACTACTGTAACTATGTGCTGAGATGCATGTTGCACAATGTTATTTTTGAATAAAATGGGATCTCTTCTTCAACAACTCATTTGTATTTCTTCATTTACTGTATTTCTGTATACTCNGGAGCTCCTGTTAGTTGGGGGCCTAGGGGGGAAAAAAGGACCGTTTGGTTTACGGTATGGACAACATCTGTGCCAAATTTGGCGAATTTGCGAGAATCTGAACCAAACGGTCCTTTTTTCCCCCCTAGGCCCCCAACTAACAGGAGCTCCGTTATATCCTTAGTTTAGTCTATTTTTTGCAATGCTTTCTTCTTCCACTAAACCCGGAGCGGCGCTGTAGGCAAATCAGACAGCAATGTTCCGAGGCGCTGTTTCTGTGTGTGCAATAATACTTCCGGTTTACGATACATGGGCAATGCCTGTCTTCTTTGTCGATTTTATAAACCATTAAGGGAAACATTACACAATTATACTGTTTTGGACTATCTATTAAGCTGCAGCGGGTTCGCTGTAAGTGAAGCCAAACATGGATATCCCCAATTCCCCCGAAGGTGAGCAGAAACGTAACGCTGCTATGTATGAACGTTAGCTAGCACACATGCTACCTGGAGCTACGCTACTGCTATTAAACACAACACATTTAGCATCTAGCAACGCACGTAACACCAGCAGCTAACGGTGTTGTTACACATTTTAATCTGTGGGTCTTTAGCATTGATGTGGTGTTTAACATGTAAATCATAAATCCGCTTAGATGAATATCAATTGTCAATATTTTGGTGAGAATAAGCATTGGTTAATGCTCTTATGATAGCTTACCTACACTTGACACAACTTTAGTATTCTTAAAGACTCATACAATCTGGATTAATACTATGTTGCTGCTGCATGCATTTTCCCAAATTACAACGTGTTTCCTAATACAAACATGATACATATTGCAGTCTTTAAGTGATACATTGCCTTGTTATTAAAAAAAAAGGAACAGAAAACCAAAAAATGGTCAATTTTAAGTACGTAGGTGTTGCTTTTTCTCAGTGCGGAAAAGTAATGCAAACTGTATCGGGTTATGAACACAGACAAGGACTTCATGAATCTACTGAATTGGAAACAGTCATATGTTTTTATTTTGCAGTGGATGGGATGGTTATTTCATTCAGATTTACATTGATGGCTTTGAGGATTCTGTAAACACCTTTTAAAACGGCTAACTGTTTGTAAAAAATAGTTGTTTTCATTCAAGGATTCCTGGATATGTATCTAATAAAAAGGCTTGTTTTATAACTGTAATATAATGATGACAAGGCACGTGCTGTCAGGATAAATGTTCATAACGTGTTAGTAAAGCACACGTTATGATAAGTTCTTCCTGTCTTTTGCTTAGCATTTTAAGACATTTCACCAACTGCCCCAGTTCTGACTCTTTACTTATTTTCTTTGTTTCTTTTGCAGATCAAGAACTGAAGAATGTAATAGACAAGCTGGCCCAGTTTGTCGCTCGTAATGGGCCAGAGTTTGAGAAGATGACAATGGAGAAACAGAAGGACAACCCCAAGTTCTCCTTCCTCTTTGGGGGAGACTACTTCAGCTACTACAAGTGCAAGCTTGCAATCGAGCATCAGCAGCGTATGTAGTTAATGGAAAAGTCCACAGTCACGTATCTGTCTGTATGATGTTGGAATGTTTAGTTCATTTAGTGTTCTAGATACTAAGTATTTTCAATTTTTATTGAGACCTTAATGTAAAGGATCAATGGAATTGAATTGAAATGTAACTTGTAATAGTTCAAATTTAAGGGATCAAGGAAAATGTATTGTCATTCTGCAAACAGGGTAGCACAGAAAATGCAATTATTTTTTTAAATAATTTATTCTATAGATTTTCTTTTACCAAGTTCCACCCAGATCAGTGCAAAAACAACATCCCCTTTGTATTTTACAATTACCACAGGTTTTTAAAGGGGCCCTATCATGCTTTTTGGGGGGCTTCACTTTCCTGTAGTGCAGTTGGTTTTTGTCTAAATGGTCGGCAAAGGCTTAAATCACAAAGTTCCCTCACACCACACACTATCCCCCCCGACTGAAACGACTCCGTTGTTTACTTCCCAAACATAGTGACATCACTATGTAACACTCACGCTTCCATTGGCTAGCACTCTAACACACTGTACGTGAGAGGGTGGAAAGAGGTGCTGCAGCACAGGCAGTAATAAAGCTTTGAACATTAAAGCATGTGAACATGTCAAAGTAAAGGCACACAATTTTACCAAACCACCTCTACCACCCGCAGCTGATGGTGATTCAACTTGGGACCAGCCTCTTCATATTTTGTCTGTTTTACATTTAAACTGAGGTGAAATGGGGGGGGAAAGCCACACACACCAGTTCTTGTCCTACATATACTTCGAAACACGCAACAATACTCCAAAGGAAGGGAAAACGCTCCCTTGGTCAAAGTCAGAAATCCACAGATTAATAATGAAGGTTAGATAACGTTGATGATGTACAGCTGATACACTGCCTGGTAATACTACAGCACGGTGTTGTGCAGGGTTGCATGGAGTTCTTCTGTCAGTAATGTAATAACACTGAAATGTATTAAAGTTTGCTTTCTCCACTTAGATCCCTCTACCCACGATGGGGAGGAATATACATCTGAAGGTATTTATTTGGAACCAGATGTGCCAGACAAATTCAGAGTTCTATTCGGAAAGTGACATTCTTATTTTTATTTTGCACATTTCTGCTGGACATGATCATATTGATGCTTGAAAGTTTATTAGGTTTGTTTTCCGTTTCCTTTATGTTCTTGATTCGTGTTTTCCTTTTTAATGTGTCAGATATGTTTCATTGATGGTGCTCATCAAAATGTGCTTCATCCTTCCTTTTGAAGCTGGTATGATAAGACAAACAGAAGTAGGCCTAGTGATCCAACATTTCTGTTCTTTGTTTACAAACCTTGGTGAATCTGATTTTCTTCAGGTTCTAACCATATTCTATATACACAAGCTGCTAACGTGTTTTCTTCTCAGCATTTTCTTTCTTCGTTTTAAATACTTGTTTTCTGTAAACAAACCAGCCAATCTTTGCCTGTTGTGGTTTTTTTTGACTCTTTCTCTGCAGGGCATCTCCATCTCTCCAGCAGCAACCCTTCCAGCCTCAACCCCAAAATCATAGAATTACCAACACCAAGACTTCACATTTTCATATTCCCTGCCTTTTTATTTATTATTGCAGAGATGTACCAAGGCTCCAAAGACGTGGTTGATATCCTTCCGCCACCAATGGCAATGATTGCCCCGCTTCCGAATCCTCCACCTGCTGCACCTTCAATGGAGGACCTAATCCAACAGAGCCAATGGAATCTGCAGCAGCAGGAGCAGCATATGCACACACTCAGACAGGTAACAGCAAGAAAGTCATTGATGGATAAGAAGCCAAATAAGCGATATTAACGTGGCAAGATAAATCATTAAAGTGAGTTATTTAGGTTACATCTTTCTGTCTGTTCTAAATGCCCCTAGTGGTGGAAGAAGTATTCCGCTATTTTACTTGAGTATACTTAATAATACTGCAGTGTAGAAATGCTCTGTTGCAAGTCAAAATGTGTCATTAAAATGTAACTTAATTATAATTACCAAAATGCTAGCATCAATACACTCAAATTACCAAAGCTAAAATAACTGATTTTGCAGAATGGCATTTTTTGGAATATACATATTATATAACATATTTATAATAAGTGATCCATTAATGTGTCAGTCATCTTAAAGAGACCCTTTTATGCTTGTGGGGGTTTTGCCTCCTGTTGCGTGTTGTATAGGTTTTTGTTAGGGATGTCCCGATCACCTTTTTTTGCTCCCGATCCGATTCCGATCATTTGATTTTGACAATTTGCCGATACCGATTTTTCCCGATCCGATCTTTATGCAATGCATTTAGAAAAAAAAAAAAAAAAAGCATTCAAGTTGTCCTTTAAGGTTATTTTTTTAATTTAAATTGGATATTCTATCCAACATGGATATAGCTTCTTTTTTTCACAGCAGCATTGGATCAAAACAAAATCAAGCTTGTCAGTACTCGTTAGCTTACTGCTACAATTAGACACTGCGCCCTGCCCACTCTGTTGCCAGATTTGAGAGAAATAAGCAACCAGGTCTATGAAAACAAGCCCCAAAGAAGCAACACATACATGATGTTGTGTAATTTGAAACCAAAACTAAGGCCTCAGGATGACTTTAAGACTTGAACATGGGCATTTTTGTTTTGTAACATTGAATACAAAAAAAATTGTTTTCCTCCCGATTCCGATCTTTTGAAAATCACGTGATCGG